ATAATTCCAGCAAATATTTATTTATAATAGCCTAATGATAATGTATATTTTATTTCTTCCAAAGTGATTTTAAGTTTCACAAACCAAGCGTATTCTGTAATGTTACATCACGAGCCAGATGTGTCTCGATTTAGGTTAAAAGTTAACAACATTACTGAGAATTCCTTTACAGAATAACAGCGGTACGAACATTATCAGCTGTTGCTGGACACGTCTGCTGTGTTGGCTGCTGTGGTCTGTGTGACTGGGCCTGGGGGAGCTAACCAGAGCTAGCTAGCTAACTATTCCTGACAGACCCCCGATGTATATTCCTCTTACCCTAACCATCACAGGGTGTGCCTAAAGTTATTGATTATGTGAATGTCGACCGGTTAAGCCTATCTGCTGCGCCGCTGTAGGGTTAACCATTGTGTTGCTGTGCAGCCTCCAGTAACATTACTGCAGCTATATAACACCGGTCGGCACTCGCGGAGCTTCTCAACTCCGAAAACGTTTGAACACATTTTCGATTTGCCGCCAATTTTCGGACAACTGCCGATATTCGAAATCTATATTGTTGATTTTTCGCCTAAAAACTTCTCAGAAGTGTATTTAAAGTTCTGTTGTTGGCTTCTAAAGAATAAAAGTTTGCATTTGGATCTATCATGTACGTAAGCTGAGATGAACGTCATCACATGCGCGTTGTCTTCTGGGACAAATCATATTTGGAAGTTCAACTTCCGTCAACTTCCGTCACGTTTGTCTGCGGTCTGCAGCTGGATATACTTGGAATTTTGTTCACTGTCCTTCATAACTGAGATCTGTAAACAGAGATGTGTAAGTTTGACAGTAATTTACTAGCTACACTAGCAGGTGGCAACAGCGACATCCTCCCTCATGAATTGAAAGGATATTCACAGCACCAGAGCCCTCTGCACGGCACTAGCTAGTTTCATCCTCGTCTGTAGAGACAACAAGGAAAAGGACTGTAGCCTTGTTTCAAACCAGCAGTGGAAAAACAAAGTGGAGAATCTTCTTTTAACTCAACGCTCGTGATTCAGGATCGGGTTCACCCTTGTCACCTCAAGGTAAGTCTGGTGAGCAGTTTGCTAACTTTGTGTCTCCTGTTGTGAGTTAGCTGTGTAATGTTAGACCACGTTACACATAACAAGCTTATATTAAATCATTTAGTTCACCTGGAGAGATTATATTATTTTCACATTAATTGGTTGTTCCCTCTACATCTGGAGTTAGCATACCAATCGCTTATATAGCCTCCATTTACCGCAGTCCGGTGATCAGTTAACATTTAGGTATAACTATAGTGATAAAATCAGTAGGCTACGCTGGTTTGACAGATCAGTGCACAATGATCATTATCTTAGTGCCAGTAAACAATGATGTCACCAGTGTTGGGCAGTAACGTGTTACTGTAGTAACTAGTAAACTAATTACTTTCTAAAGTAATTATTACAGTTACTAAGGAAAGTAACGCTGCTGACACACCATCCTTGATGTGAATCCACGACTGTGCGGCAGCTCAGCGGACCGGACTTTGTTGTTCATGTACACTGTTAGCCAAAAACTAAATGAAGAATGGAGAATGAGGGAGAGAGATGTTCTTTCCACAGCTGTAAGTAGCTTACTGCCATTATTACTGCCAATCAAGCCAGAAATCTTGGTGTAGTCATGGACTCAGACCTGAATTTGAGAAGCCATATTAAGACAATTACAAAGTCAGCCTACTATCACCTGGTCTGAGGGTGGCGTGTCCTGTAAAGCGGTAAGTGCCTTGTTTGCCTGTTTGCTACAATTTATCGTGGCCCTTTTTTAATGGTGTGTGTTTTCACATCACAGCCGGACCGAGCTACAGCCGTGTGCATGCTGCTGTCGAGGCTGCCGGGTGCCACAGTTATCTAAGAGGCTAATACTCCCGCTCTTGCTGTTCTGGATATCGGTATAAAACTTTGCTGTATATTGATACAGTATCTGGATATGACTGTCCTGGATGCACAGAACTGGTTTGGAGCAATATGTTTAAATGTTTGAATATCCAGACATTGGCTCTGTAAATATTGGTTTTAACTGGATACATATTGCATGTGGGTTTTTGTTCTTTTCTTTGTGTTTGATTTTGATTCTTTAATTACGCATGCAGGTTTGTTGACTTGAATGATGTTTGTGGGGGGTTTTTGTTGTTTTTTTCTCTAATACGCATTACATACTTTTTTTTTAATAGAGCAGGTGTTGCTATTTTAATATAAAAAAATAAAATTGTATTTTTTATAATTGTCTCTGCCCCCTAATTTTTAATAAAATGATCTGTGTGCTTTAAAGGTCTTGGGCCAATCCCAAGTGGCGTTCTCAAGTGTCATAGGCCGCTCATTCTGCCACACATCTTCAGTCGACTCGACTACTGTAACGGTGTCTTTACAGGGCTCCCAAAGAAATCCATCAGACAGCTGCAGCTGATTCAGAACGCTGCTGCTCGAGTCCTCACTAAGACCAAAAAGGTGGATCACATCACTCCAGTTCTGAGGTCTTTACATTGGCTTCCTGTATGTTAGTTTATAAAGCACTAAATGGTTTAGGGCCAAAATACATTTCTGACCTCCTGCTTCGTTATGAACCATCCAGACCTCTCAGGTCGTCTGGGGCAGGTTTGCTTTCTGTCCCCAGAGTCAAAACTAACATGGAGAAGCAGCATTCAGTTATAATGCTCCGTATATCTGGAACAAACTCCCAGATAACAGCAGGTCTGCTGAAACTGTCAGATCTTTTAAATTAAGACTGAAGACTTCTTTTTAACATTGCTTTTAAATTTTACAGTGAGAAATTAGTAGGTAATTGAGTGAAAAGATAATGAGTGTGAGATTGAGCAGGAAATGGTCTTAAATCTCGCGCCCGAGTGATTTGCAGGAACCTCTGTCCATCTGTAATCGCGCATGGGTCCAGAGTATAACTGGATCAAAGTGGCCTGCTGACAGACATGTCCTGTTTTCTCTGTAGTGTCCGAGTGTTTTTGGAGTTTCAGTGGACCCAAAGATTGCTGTGGACCCGAGTACAGACTAGCTAGAGAGTAGATTATGTGTACTTCTCTGTTTATTCTCAAAAATTGTAATTGTAACTCAATTATTTGCTCCCTCTTTTAACCCTGATTGTAACATTGTAACTTTTATTATATTTTATGTTGCTTTTAAACTTTTTTTTATATTTCCTTGTTGCTTTTATGTTTTATGTAAAGCCCTTTGAATTACCTTGTTGTTTAAATGTACTATACAAATGAACTTGCCTTGCCTAGTGTGACTGATGACTGCGACCATAGGTGTTGTGCCTACCATTACACTATCATGTCTGAATTGGCAATCAAACACAATGATGGGACACTCAGAAAGGAAAGACAATCCCCCATTCATTGTATTTCTGGCGTGTGTTTATGTATAGTTTTGGGGCAACAATGGAGCTCTATGGCACAGCGGACATAAGATATATCAGGCTTCGGATACCCCCACAATACTATCTAGTAGGATACATTTATTGTTGGTTTAGGCCTTTTCACAGGATTTGTTTACAATAAGAAAAATATAGAATATAACTAGACTTATGTATAAATGTTTGCTTTTGGTTCAGGCTGCAGTTTGCTTGATATCTGTAAGCTCATACTTTAAGATGTTGTAGCCTATTTGGATAAGATTTTACAGCTAGTTGTGTTTTTGAATGCACCGGTTGACATCATTGTACAGTTTTAGAGTTTAAGCCTGATGGGGTTCTGAAACGAATCTCAGAACTATTTTTCAGCCTAACAGGATACATTTTCCTCAGGATCAAGTGCCATATATTAAGCTTCTCCCATATTTCTCAAATTGTTATCTATACCTATAGATTATATTTCAGTACTGTATATGCTGTTAGTTTATAGATGTTTTATAATCATATGCAAATATTTTCACTAACTTAAGATTGCCATATTGTGAAACACACGGAGAAGAAAACATGTCACTACCAGTGGCAGAAAACTTCATTAATGTAAATTAGTCACATGTGGTCAATACCTGATCCACTTAATAAGGTCAGTAGTACTGATGAAGTAGATAAAATCAGAAAATTTAATTAAAATGTCTTTCCTGAAGCTTCATAATTGTTTCATTGGATTGAAATGGATCTCAAGTGTTAATTGAAAATGAAATGTAAAAATGAACACAGCTGTATGTATTTTGAATAAATATCACAAGCCTGAGGTTTTTTGGAAGAGACAAAAAAAGTAACTCACTTGATTAAATGATGCATGACACATATTGCCACACATATTTAGATATATTTACACACAGAATATCAAGATAATTTTCAAACTTTAAGATTTTAGCATTTTGAAAATATATTTTTAAAATGTATTTCAATATATTCAGCAGTGTCTCATATATGTGAATATATTACATTTCTGTATGACCTGTCCTTTCCCTAGAGGAGTTGGGAATCCAGTGAAATCTTTATTGATTTAATGAATAACAAAAGCGAGCTGAAGCCATTCACCATGACCAGTAAAAACATATCTGACACGGAGATACTGTAAAGATATTAATGTATAGAACAAATCTCTGACACTTTCCATCGCAGACTGTACGCAACTCTACCAGTCCTTCCTGTCAGACGACCCCACCGTCTCAGCACAGATCACGGATTGTCTCTCAGCCATATCCACATGGATGAAGGCTTGCCACCTTTAACTAAACCTCTTTAAGAACTCTTGGTCATCCCAGCCAAGTAATCTATCCATCATAACATCAAACTAAAAGTTGGTTCCTCAGCGATCACTCCAATTATGCATTTGACAGCATTTACATTAGATAATATGTGCATCCAGAGTTGGTGGGAGGAAACATTTTATGATACAACGCCTTTATCGACAAGACAACATCATTTTCCTGTGTCATCCAAGCCACTGTTTTCTGATGTTACACTACAGTTAAAGTTTGTTTATGTTTAGGCACAAAAACAATCGTGGAAAAAAGAGAGCACCACTCCATGGTTTAACAGTTTATTTAACCTCAGAGAAAACTGTTTACATAAAAATGCAAATATATGACCATCAAAGAAGACATTTGAGATTTCACATAATATGACCCCATCACCAAATCTCTACCGAAACTTAAAATGTTTAATATTAAATATATAGAGGCAAACGTAAAGCAGTATAGTATACTGTGGATGTGTGTATTTATTCCTATTTTCTCTTGAAAAGATATAGATAGGAAAAGTCTATGAAGATTCTCAGTCATCCAGGTCATAGTTATCCAACGAAAAAAATCAACTGGACTTGGTTGATCAACCAAGTCCAGTTGCCCTTGATTTTAACCTTCGTTGGATAGATAGGAAAACAAAATACACATTTTGAATTATAGAAGGATGGACGATTAATAAAAGATCCACACTTTAAGAGAAAGAAAATATCACAACAACCTCAGAGAATAACAAACAGTCACTGTGATCTGGCATCTAGTGATCATTCAGTGATTCAGAAAAAGGAGACAGAAAAACTTGTTATTGGCCACATCCTCAGTAATCTTGTGGTACTTTGTGACTAAATTCAGTGTGGCCACTTTTCCCAGAAAGCCATTCAATAAACCCAAAGAAGATATGTAGTGTAGACTTCTTCAAAAGTATTACACCACTAAACACAACATGAGTGAATGAATAAAACATCTGACACCAGTGAGCAGAGTGGGTTTCAACACTTAGAACAGATGAAATTAAACTTGTTATTATCCAGGTTTTTGAACCACTGATGTTGTCCTCCTCTGTCCATGGCTCCAGACATGCCACAGTCATCAGTCTTTTCTCCTGGGGCCCAGTTTGTATAGTTGACAACATCATTGCTGACCCAGAACCAGAAATCCAGAGTGCAGGTGTAGCGCAGTCCCAGCCAGACGAAATCAGTTGAGGCGTTCTTGGCTCTCTCTTGGACCCAAATCTGCTGGTGAGGGTTAGTGATGGAGACCAGGTCACTGTAGTTCTCTCTGCAGTAATATGAGGCCTCCTCCCAGGTCTTATTTTCTTTGATCAGGATCACTTTATCTGTCATGGAAGAAATTGAGACAAACACAGGATCATACCAGCAGCTTTGTTCAGTTAGTTGTTGGGAACACTGGGATCCAATATGGATCTTCAATACTGAAATAAAATGTTTCAGGTTTAAGTGACTGCTTGTGTGTTTGGGGCTAATGACAAATATCTTTAAATATGTTAAGAACTTCTTAAGAAAGTGACATTTTATTTTAAAGGAAGCCATGTCATGCTCAATAATAAATAAAATGTTCAATTAACCAATACTTTTGAAAGAAAGTAAAAAAAAATAACAGATGTAGCTTGTGTACATGTAGCTGTGACACAACCAACACAAAAAGACTGTGTTTCAACAAAATTAAAATAAAGTATAAATACTGTAGATTCAGACGGATTTTCCAACTGATTCCAGTTCAGCTCCAATGGGAGAAAACAGTTGAGACAGACGTTTGCAAAACTCACCGTCATAGCAGAAGAAGGGTTTTGTTTCATTGCAGTCATCAGAGCTCCATTTTCCAGATACATTTAACTCAGTCATGGCACATTTATTATCTGGCTGATTCAGATCCCAGTTTCTGAAAGAGAAACTGCTCCCATCTGACCACATCCAGGAGTCTCTGAACAGGCCGATCCACACCCACATATCTTTGTTTACAGACTGGATGTCTACAGCGAGTTTTTGTGACATGTCTTGAAACTGCTTTAGTCCACTGACCAGGTCTGTGTAACGCTCCCTACAGTATTCTTGAGCCGCTGACCACTTCTTCTTCTCTTTAATCAGATGGTATTTGTCTGTTGCATTATTTTCTGTGGAGTAAACAGGCAAACTTGCATGACCTTATAGTGTACATGTACGTCTTTTGAGCAAATACAGATTTTTAGCTAGATTTTTCTCCGTGGATGGTAATGTTGGTTGAGACTGAAATATCTCAAAAACAATGAAATAGATGGCCTTGAAATTTTGTACAGGGATTTATGGTCATCACAGGATATATTGCAATAACTTTGATGATCCTCTGACTCTTCATCTTGCTCCATCATCAGCTCAACTTTTTTTTTTTATCAGTTCAGTATTTTGGTTTACGACTAAAAACATGTAAAACTAATGACATTCCTTTCATCCTAAGCTGTGCTTTGTGTTTAATGCTAATTATTAAATCTAACATGCTAAACTTAGATGGTAAACATGGTGAACATTATATCTGCTTATTATCAGCATGTTAGTATTGAAAATGTCAAAGTGTCAGGTGTTAGCGTGCTGACTTTAGCGTGTAGCCCATAGCACTGTAGTGCCTACAGCTTCTCAGAGCCACTCTTATTGTTGTAAGTAAATGAAGAGATGAGATATGTCACATCTGAAGATAATGTTATATGATCAAATATTAAATTTAGACAGTAGGGATAACACATATTCTCACCATCATAACAGATGAAATAACTCTCAACATGTTCACAAGACCCATCTCTCCAATTGCTATCCTCCCGTATAAACCCACAGTTCTCTACTCCTCCAATATCATTCGGTTCTCCCAAGGTCCAATTTGTCTCGCTTTCATTGAACTCCACTCCTGGCATAGACCAGTGCCACGTCCTGATGGATTGTGTTTGGTTGTACAGCCCAATCCAGGCTTCTCCTTGCTGCACTGTAGTGTCATTGAGTCTCTTCATGTCTGCCATGTTAGACACTGTGGCCAGGTCAATATAATTCTCTCTGCAATACTTCTGGGCTTCATACCAGGTCTTCTTCTCTCCAACAAAGTGATACTCATAGAGATGACATGCGAAGAAGGACCACTGACCTAAAAACAAAGGACATACTGTAGTGACTGAGCTGACAGCAAAAAATCTAAATCCTGATTCACACCTACTACTTACTGTCACAACTCTGGACCTTTATCCAGCTTTTCCCTGCCCCCTGCCTCTTCCCCCTTGTATATGTGTGTTTGCATGTGTTGTAGGCACGGCTAACCTCTCCAGACACCTGGTTCATCTCCACATCTGACTTCAATCAGCTCATCAACCCTCAGGTCAAATACTCCTGCCACTTGTCACCAGATTGTCTCTGTGGTTCAGTGACTCGGTCTTGGACGATACTAATTCAGAGAACCTGCTCACTTAAACCTCTCCCTCCGTGTCTGTGTCTGCTTCAGGGTCCAGTTTTGTGATTTTACTTTTAATTTGATGAAAGAGTGAGCTGTTCAAATGTTAAACGAATGCATATTAGGTTGGTCAAATAATGTTTAGCTAAATAAATGGTAAATGATCCACTTACCCATCAGAATGAGCAGAAACAGACTCCACTGCATCTTTGCTCTGTTAGAGGAAACTGATATTTTAGTGTGTAGAGAACCAAACACAATGATTTTACCAAATTGGGTCAGTTTAAAGAAAATACATGTGAACACTTAACTGTATGTCCAGTTAAAGTAAATAAATGAATAAATCCTTTGTCTCTGAACAGCAGTTTGATAAGGAAGCAGAATAGAGGCAACAATGCAAACTGAGTTCAGATTCAGATTCATTCATTATTGTCCTCAGTGGAGGAAAGTTGTTTTCACAGTCTGTACAAAGCTTCAACATGAATACGACACACAAAATACCCATAGTACACATATGCAAATAATGTAAACATCATTAACTTGTCAGTGCAGTACAAAACTTTTTCAAAAGCGTGCCTTTTTGTAGAGCAGCTGTCTGTATCTACGGCCAGGTGGGAGAAGGGTGAAGCATGAGTTGAGAGGGTGGCTGGGATTTTGTACTATGGTAGTTTCTCTGCGAGCAGGGGGCAGGATTAATGAGGGCTGGCAGGTTGGGAGTGTGAAGACCTATTATTGTCTAAGACCTATTAATATCAGTACAAACAGTGGTTAACTGTGAAATATCTTTTTGTAGCCCATGAAAATGTCTTTCAGTAAAATATAAATAATATAACACATCGGGCTGGGCCAATAACAAAAACACCGGTACAATATAAGGCAATACAACAATTCTGCATATTTTGTTTCTGTCTGGAGACATTTAATGTTCTGATTTTACATGTACTGCCATAATTTCTGTTATTTTCCGTCAACCTTATAAAGATACTGCTACTATTAAAGGCATTATGTATCAGGAGAGGGTGCGACAATAAATAAACCCCCAATAGAATAACACATAATTTAATTGTTCATTATACCTTATATAAGCCTAACGAAATAATTAGAATTAGTGTCTAGTGTCTACACCACAAAACTCACAAAAAATGGAATTTAAAAAATCGAGTGTCTTTTGTTTTGAGTCTAGGTTTAATTGAATTTTTATATTTTTTTAGAATAACACATCACCTAATTAAAAAACAGATATCTATTTATTAATTTTCACATTATTTCATTTATACATTTATTTTCAAAGCATGCTGGAGACAGTAGGTAATGTTTTTCCAGACCTGAGTAGTGCTCCACCAAAAAGCCCCAAAAACCTGAACCTGAGAGGTAAAATCCAGGGCAAGAAAAAGTCCTGTAGACTCACAAAGCTGTGGGCGCACAGCTATTGAAGGATTATTGTATTTATCTGTCTTGTCCTGTTACTGGGTGGGTGTGTCCACCTTTTGTTAAAAATACTGAACATTGCACACAATTAAGGTTTTTAAGAAATCATGTTATTATAAAACTGTGAAATCTACTGCAGAGATACAATATTGTGCTTCCACCTCTGCACAAACAATAAACGATATATTAAAATTAAACAACAGCATCATAACTCACATCTTCTGAGTCCTCGCAGCAGCTTCACTCTGGTGTCTCTCCTCATGTGCTGATGAAGACAACTGTCCAATATAGACCAGGGAGGTGCTCTCTTGTAGCCCCCTAATGTCATTTGAATAATGAAAAACACAAGTCTAAGCTGTCTTTCATAGTCAGGACAGGATCTACTGATGGCCAGAACATAATTTACATAATGTAAATTTACATCATGAGTAAACAAAAGCACACTTCCCTGTTGACTGTCCAACAAACAGAAAGAAAGGTCTCGTTCCAAAACATCCACTAACAAGCAGAATAAATTTAAATCATGTTTTCTGCTTTGAATATACATATTTTTGCATTGTCAAAAGTTGTATTACATTTATTTTCATTTCTTGTATTCATACTCAAAAACATTGTAAACAATTGACTCATTTAAAGTTTATTTATCTTTTGATTAAAGCAAAACAGTTTTCCAGTTAAAGTCCATTTATTTGAAAAGGAATGGGTGTTTGGCTTCGGGTGTTCAGTATATTTGTACAAGTTTGATCCAAAGTACTAGACGTCTAAATGGCTCAGTAACTGTTCACATTGTTACTGTAAATTCTGCAATGTTTTATTGTGATTATTTATATTATCTATGTAAATTTTACACATTTCCTAGTTTGCTAATAATAGCATGTTCACTTACATTTGTGTTTAAATACAAGGTTCATGGTGTCAAATTCAGCTTAATAAATAATATATCTACAGATACAGAACAAAGAAAACACCTTAACCAAGTAGTTTCTTCCAAACTCTGATCTTTCCCCAGTTTAACTAACTACACTTGATTGTTAACTAAACCAAAGAACCGTCAGCATATGAATCATTTTTCTAACACATATGGATATTCAAAGGTGACACAACAAACAACTTATTTTGTCATTTTGTTTCGTGGAGTAGGACACATTGTTCAACATATCAGGTGGCTGCTTCTTCACACAGCTAAAATACAGGTTCTGGTTATCAGATCTCCTAATGTTTTAAGTGTGTACACTCTCAATATTATTTTCTGAGACACAGCTATTCGAAGTGCAGGTAACACTGTGTGTGTGTGTAGAGAATAAGTTTGTATTTTTTGTTCTCCTCTCAGACAGTATATTTAATGTTTACAAGTCTAGACAAAACTAGAAGAAGAGTTGTGTTATGTACAAACTGGCTAACCAAACCAAACAAACTGGTTAATCTCTTGTTAAAATGCAGAACCACTTTACATCAATAATATTATCTAAGTAAATTTTTATCAACAGTCCTCCACTGAGGAAAATGTTATTGAGCAGCCGATAAGTGCCCATGCACTTTATTTGTTGGCAATTTTTAATACGTGTCTAGGATTAAAAGACGAGGGGGGGCCCAGGGTATCCGTAACTTACACTTGCGAAATCTTTGCACTCACATCTTTTGTTACTGTATTAGAACTACACTTATGTCAACAACCAGTGAAGAAGCCACGATGTCAACAAATAAAAAGCAACAAAAAAAACTACGTTCTTCCATTTCTCCTCTGTTGAAGTTACTGTAATGTTACATGGGGTTTGGAAGCACAAAAAAAGTGGGTGCGTCCTTCTCCAAGATTTTTATAGATCTCTCACTCTCTCTCTCTCTCTCGATAGATAGATAGATAGATAGATAGATAGATAGATAGATAGATATATATACATAGTTTGTTTTAAAAATTTCAAACTAATTTGGATGTTTTCAAAAGCTCATAATAAACCTGCAGCAGTTTAATGTTTTTTTCCCTTACTGTACCGAAAATAAACCGAACTGTGACTTCAAAACCCAGGTACATACCGAACCGAGATTTTGTGTACTGTTACACCCCTACTGTGTGTGTGTGTGTGTGTGTGTGTGTGTGTGTGTGTGTGTGTATGTAGTAATGTTGCTCTGCAGCTCAGCAGCAGTGATGAAAGGCAGCCTCCTCCAGGGTCCTAGAGCCTGACGACATAAGGGATTTAAATTATGAAGCAGAGGAAACAACCAGAAGGATTATTATGAGCCAATAAATACAAATTATATTTGTATTATTCTATTGTATCATTATTTTGCTTTTCTTTGTTGAGTACACATCTGCACTATGAAAAAAGGAAAAAGAAAAATAGATCTAAATCTAATGATTATTTCTCTTCTTATTATTTGGGGGGCTTAGGACCATGTTAGGGTGGCTTCAGCCCCCCTAAAATATAAGAATATTTTATCGTTTTTAAATAGCTGGCTACTTTAAATAGACCTGCGTGGAATCGCTTTCGCGAAAATGCAAACCGCTATCTTTCGTAAAACGTTAAGCAAGAATTCCTTCAGCAAGTTCATTTGAAGCTCACACAGGCTATAAGCATCAGAGGTTGGAAGTTGACAAACAACCCCTTGATCAGTAATTAAGCATGTAGTCTTAATATCAGCAGACTGACACCTCGGCAGTTCATCATGTTATCAAACAACAGTGGATATCAGTAGACCAAAGCATGCACTTGTCACAGCAGATTTTGAATGCCTGCAGCCTCCCCTGCTGTCATAAATCTAGATAACAGTTGAATAAGGTATGCATAGTCTCAGTGCCTACTGTCAATGCTCCCACAGTGAGCTTGTTACTGCATTCATGATTACAGCACTTCTAAGTACAAAATAAGACATCTCGGTAATGTTCAAAGATTAAGAAGTAAGTAAGGATAATTATAAACTGCCTAATAATGATTAATGCTAATTAAGGACAATAAAATGATTAAAAATTATGAATTAAGAATGATTACTTAATACTGATTAAAGATAATAAAATGATTGATTACAAATGATGAATTAAGAGTGATAAATGATTACTACTAATTAAGGATACTAAAATGATCAAAAATGATGCCCTGCCCTCTCCTGATCATGCTACTTTGACCAAAAACCTCACTTTGTGGAATAAGTTTATGTATGTTTTGTAACACAATTTTCACTAATTCTGCTTCTACATTTTAACTTTGCTGGTGTTTTTGATGATGCCTTGCTGTGCTCATTCACTCTGCTCCCAGAGCACACGTGCCTGCTTGCACACACACACACACACACACACACACACACACGCTACTGCCTCCAGGCAGTTAGACACAGAGAGGAGCACACACACTCAGAGCTACAGAGTTTCAACATTGTGATCTTAACTTTACACTATAAAATAACACTTTAAATGATGACAATGCAATTAATGATAACAATTTAGGCTGTTATGTTCTACAATTATTCTCAACAGTACGTGTGGCTGACTGAGGGAGTAAATATGAATCTTTCAAATGTTGGCACACAGGAATTTGTTTTAAAACTGTCACAGCCCTCATCACACTGTTTATGTTGTAAAGTGCATTTAGCATTCTAGTCAGAAATGTAACATACTGTATGTGTTTAAAAGCGGGAGCTGGAGCTAAAAAAGCTTTTTCTATTTACAGTTAGGATTACATTTTGGTTCTGTAAATCTGTAAATGTACTTTATTTGTCACATACACATACATGTGAAACATAGCGAAATTCATCCTCTGTATTGAACCCTTCCCTGAAGGGAGCAGTGGGCAGCAACTGTACAGCGCCCAGGGACCAACTCCAGATTGAAATGCAGTGACTTTTGCACAGTGCACTGACTGGAGAACCTACCTAACACGTTTTTGATAGTGGGGGAGTGCACCCGGAGAAAACCCACGCAGACACGGGGAGAACATGCGAACTCCACACAGAAAGGCGGAGACAACTGGGGTTCAAACTAAAAAGTTTAGTATCATAAAATACAAATAAAAACACACCGTAAGTAGAAATACTGCAGGTTGTCCCAGGATAATCAAACGCTCTATTGTAATTAATCTTTAGCACCAAATATAGTAGGCTATGTGTCCTGAGAAACAAAGTAGAAGCGATCTAAATACAAAAAAAAAATGCAGGTCCATCTGTGGGCATTGAAACAAACTATTTGCCATCAACGAAAATTGTGAAGGTGAGATAATAGAACGTGTTTAACAGGTTGTCATCCTGCAATTTTTGTGCAATTGAAGCTGTAGTTACTTCAAAACATGCAGCTTCTCAGATAAGAGATGTTTGTCGAGCACCAACTCTGAGGCTGTTGGCGTTGAAAGGAGTATGAAAAGAGCGCACCTTCCTCTTGTTCATCCACTTCACCAACCAATCTGTGGCATCAAGTTACAGTACATAGGTTGGAACATATTCAAAATAATTACATTTACATATATTTAAATGTTTTAAATCTAAATTGAATAAAATTAATTTATATATAAATATATTTTGAAATATATTCAACAAATATTTACATATATTAATTGCACTTATATGTAAATAAGTGTAGTTCCTTATCTATGCAAATACAGTAATGTGTAATATCTATGTATGTTTCAACTCCTGGAATATGTTAATATATTATATATGTAAATCTATTTTTAAACATATATTCAAATATTAAATTTATGCTCCTTTTTAGTATGTCACATATATGTAGATAAGCTTAAATATGTTTCATAGAATATATTCACGTGTTTTTTCACACTTTGTGAAAAAAAATCAGTTCTCCATATATGTAAATACATTCATTTTATTTACATTTATTAATTTATAATATAACCCCCCCCATGAACAGTTAGCAGGCATTTAAAAACATTTTCCAGACAAATCAAATAGATCCAGTTGATATAAACTACATTTGCTTGCATTTGAACATTGAATGTTTTCAGAAGGTACATGGCACACTTACTACTACACATACACAAAAAATGTGTGTACCAAAAATACACAGACAGTATTGTAGCATGTCTACTTATGATTTTGACGTATGAGGATTAATACAAATTATGAATTTTAATATTTAGAGAATATTAATTCATAAAGCTCTCGTTTCACGGGGCACCACCGGGTATATAATTCACCCAGAGTCTCCGGACCTCTGGGTAGCATTTTAATAATTACACAGTTATTCACTAGTGATCAGTTAGTTAATAATCGCTCAATTATCTTAAATCAATCAGTCAGTCTCATATCGAAGTGGAAAGAGACTTGGAGTTAGA